TTTTAAATAAATTATGTAAAATTTAATATTAATTAAAATTAAAATAATACATTATATATTTAAATACTCAAGTAATATATTATCAACAAATAGAATTTTTATATAAATAATTTTTATTTAAATATTTAGAATTTCACTTGTTAAAAACTATAGAACAATGACAATTTGGTAAAATATACATTTCAGTAATCTTTTATTCCTTCAACCAAACATTGTAATCTTACATTCCTGTCAAACCAACCAAACACAGTAATGTAACATTCCAGTAATCATATTCCCTGGTAATCTTTTATTACCACTGGTAATCTTTTATTACTACTGGTAATCTTACATTCCGTGAACCAAACGTACCCTTAATACCTATGTCATTAGTGACTATCCATCTAATCAATATCCTCTCCAATCTTTCAACTTGTGTTTTGTCCTCATAGAGTGTAATATGACTTATAATTGTATTTAAATGTGTAATGTCAAAAATTAATTCCTCAATATTTTTTGAATGATCATTTTTGTCCTTTTTTAAAAATATTTTAACCCTCAACGTTTGAATTTTTTTGTCAAAGTTACTCATACTGGATGGGAAACTTTAATTGACTAATGATCAATACATGTTGTTGACATAACATTTATATATGTACCAAATTGCTTATGTGGTACATGTCACATCAATTAAGGTGATAATATGATATGTACCGTATCACCTAAGATAATTATATGATATGTGTCACGTCAATAATTAAGCACATGTAAAAATGACATGTCAACAATTAAGCATACGTGAAAACGTTGCATTAACAACATGTGTGGATTATTAGTTAACTAACTGTTTCTATCTGACATAGACTATTTTGACTAAAAAAATAGTCAAAATGCTAAAAAAATGCTAAAGTAACTATACTAAATCTCATACTTATAATTGTCCAGGCCTTCAAATTCAACTATCTTACCCATTTTAGAGGAAAGAATGAAATTCTAAAAAAATGTTCATTTTGTGGGTCATTAACGTATTTCTAAATCAGTTGTTGGCCTTTAACTTTCCAATAAGTTCTTTTTCGTCTTTAAAAAGTTAAAGCTGAAGATAGCATAGTTGAAAGCAAAGTCAACTCTTTTTGTTATCAAGAGGTGAAAGATAAACAAAGTCATTAAACTTTGGTTGTGCCAAAGATTTTGTTGAATCTATTAACCACCAAAAGTGTCATCTTTGAAATTATACAACAATGAAACTACCCCTTATATTTTATAACGAGCAAACCAATAAAAGGACGGCAGTCTCAACCACTCAACCCTTACCTTCACTTGCACTCCACACTCCAGCCTTTCTCCTTTAAAGCTGAAAGAGATAGTTTCTGAATTTTTCTGATCAATATTTCTTTTGAAGATGGCAGTGGTGCTGGCAATGGTGATTGATGGCTTGGGATTGCTTGTTAACACTCTCCAGGGCATGCAAGAGAGGCGGTTCTCAGCAACTTATGATGCTGTGAGTTCAGCTGTTACGTCCATTACAATGGCATTTGTTGTCTGCCTTTTGTCCATTCATAGGCATGCAAGACCAGGGATTGGTATTGGTTTTTACTTCACTTGACCATTGGTTCCCTCTCCGTTTCCATCCTTAATTTCCATTATTGAAATTTTAATAGTGTCCTTCTCTTTAAGATCATGTTGTTTTATGGCACTGTTTATTGCTGCAGTTCAAGCTTTTTATACTGATCAACAAGAATATGTTTGTGTGTGTTATATCAACATTTCTTTTCATGGATTCATGCATTTTCCAAGTTGCAGTGTGGTCGTTAGGTATAAACTTTGCTGCTGTTCAAGCTTATTCTGGTTGGTTCTTGCATAGCAGACCCGAAGTTAGAAACTGAAGATATGCAATACTGATTCTGGCCTTATAGGAAGAAGAAAACGTATAGACCGGTTGTCTGTGCAAAATTAAGATCAAAAGGCGATTTTCCCCAAAAATCACATTTTCCTTTTATATTTCACTCTCACCCATTCAGATATATTTTTTTATCTAATACCCTTTGCACAAAGACGCGGCCCATGTACCGAGCCTTACGCTGATGTGGCGCCACGTGGAATAAGACGCAGCTCATGCACCGCGCCTTATGTGATCGTGTAAAAATTAGGTGCTAATTTAGTAAATATTTTTAAAATAATGACTAATATGTTAATTTTTCAGCTCATGCACCGCGCCTTATGTGATCGTGTAAAAATTAGGTGCTAATTTAGTAAATATTTTTAAAATAATGACTAATATGTTAATATTTTTTTGTTAGGATGATTTTTGTGTAAAAACATCAATTTTTTTTAATTTGCCAAAAAAACTTTCTACATTAAAATCTTTTAAATATTCTTTTACAAATTATTTTGTAATTCGACAAAATTTAATTTTTTCATGAAATTACACAATACATATAATCTAGTATAGTAAAACTTTAAATGTAAGTAATTTAAAATATGAATAATTTTATAAAAGTTTTATAACTAGTATTTATTATATGATGATGATAAAAACAATAAGAAATATTTTATAATTTAAAAATAATAAATTTTATATATTTTTGAAAAAAAATTATTGAATTTTATAATTAATTGTTTAAAAATAAAAAAAATATTAAAATAAACTTTTAATTACAATTGCGGGATCAAATGAATTATTATTCATTATTTATTATTTTTTAACAACAGTTAATATTGTTTATTCATTTTTAATAATGAATGAATAATAATTCATTTGATCCTGCAATTATAATTAAAAATTTATTTGATCTTGCAGTTTTAATTAAAAGTTTATTTGATCCCACAGTTTTAATTAAATATTTATTTGATCCCGCAATTCTAATTTTATTAAAAAAGAATAAACATTATTAACTGTTGTTAAAAAATAATAATTAATGAATAATAATTTATTTGATCCTGCAATTGTAATTAAAAGTTTATTTTAATATTTTTTATATTTTTAAATAATTAATTTTAAAAGTCAATAAATTTTTCAAAAATATATGAAATCTATAATTTTTTAAATTATAAAATATTTTTTTCACCATCATCATTTTGTAAAAGAAATACTAGTTATAAAACTTTTATAAAATTATTCATATTTTAAATTACTTACCCTCAAAATTTTTATATACTAAATTATACGTATTGTGTAATTTCATGAAAAAAAATCAAAATTTTTCAAGTTATAAAATCATTTGAAAAAGAATATTTAAAGATTTTAATACATAAAGCTTTTTTCACACACAAAATAAGTAAAAAAAATTGACTTTTTATATAAAAATTACCCTTATAAAAATATTTATATATTAGGCACAATTTTAAAAAAATTACAAAACTAACACTCAATTTTTATGGCATATGGTGCGGTTAATAGACCTCGCCTTTTGACACATGGTATAAGGCGCGGTGCATGAGTTTCACCTTCTTGCAAAGGGTGTTAAATCGAAAAATATATTTAATAGAGTGTCTAACAGAAAAATATAAAAGGAAAAAGGTGATTTTTGTGGAGAATCACCAGATCAAAAGGGGATGGTTTTGCACAATAATTGATATGCAGTTGACACTTTTTTTATATGATTAGACTGGTAGTTGGGTAGATGAGCATGCTTTCGGTTCTTTTATTAGGTTTGAAATCAAGAAACCTATATATTTAGCTATTACTTTGTGTCAAAAAAAAAAATCTCTTAAACTCAAGTATTAAACAGTTTGATATCGATTAAATAGGTATAATGTATACAGAATTTTTACACAAAAAACCTCATCCGTACCCATCAAAATGAGGTGCAAACCTCTAGAACCGGGAGGGGAAAAAATAGTAATGCCTGGCTTTAACAGAGTTTTCGTGGGGATCACCAGACAAGTTTTATCTCACACCAGAGTATATCCCTGCCACGTGCTTCGGGAAATTAACTTAAAATTTTGAATATTATATTTATGTTAATATAGGGTAAATATAATAAATTAATTTTTAAATAAATCAATTTAAATTGAGTTAAACTAGAATAATTATAATGAATTATGTAAAATATAAATAAATTAAGAAACGATCCAAAATTAACATAAAAAAATTAATTAAAATGCAAATAATATAGAAAAGAACATGAACACAATATGTATATATATATCATGATAGTTAGTAACAATTAAAAGATGTACAATTATAATAATTTGAGCATAAAAATAATATGAAAATGTCACGAATATAATTTTTTTTTTAATTTTAATTATTATAAAAAATAGGTCATAGATTGAAATTTAAAACACGAAGTGAACATATAATTTTATTTAAATTAAAACACAATAATAAACTATACAAGATATAAAACAAATTAATTCATGATACAAAACATCATAAAAATAATAATTAAAGCACAGCAGAAATATAAATAAAACATGAATACTCCCATGTGTGTGAATATTTAATAAAATAAATTTTTGAAATTTATATTTTTGGTATATTTATAATACTTCAGATATACAAAATAATAAAAGCACCAACAAACAAAAATTTATCGTTTCTTTTTATCTTCTCTTTTTTTTCCGTTATAATAATAAATTCAAAAAAAAATCCTGGATTACTGCTATACAATCTGTAACACTTAAGTGCAGAGAAGAAATCAACAAATCTAAGGTAACGATCAGTGAAACCTTGAGATAGCCTTTTATTCAAAAAGCAGTCGTTACAAAGCTATAAAATACAAATTTATACACCAATGTAACAAACTTTAGTGCATCTTCATTTCTTCCTCTTAAAATGAATGAACCAATTCACTCACTACGAGTCTTTTAGAAGGCCTAATAAAGGGCACTAACAGTAATTAATCAAGCGATTAATTATCTAGTACACAATATGAACTACAGATAAAGGAAACAAGGAGTTTCCTTGATGCCAGAAACAGGATAAGGACATAGGAAACAAGGTTTCACTAATAAAGGAAACGAGAAACGTGCTTAGTCTAGAAAAAGGATCAAATTTAATGGATCCAGCATACTAATTTTACATATGATTATGGGAACCTGGAATTACTGGGTTTCTCTCTTGTTAGGCCTGCAGATACCCCTTCTCCTCCAGGTAAGATACCACAGTTTCAGCCATTTCGCATGGAGAAGCACAGATGTTTCCCTTTTGTGGCAATTCTAACTGCAATATAGGGGGGAAAGGGTTGAGCTTCAATTTAAACGTCGGAATATGAGATTCAAAGAAAACCAAAGTGGAAAGCATTGCCGTTCTGAAAACTAGTCTCAAGTATGGCCTTGACATCTATCATACTCATTTAACCATATCCATCCACAATACCACGCTAGCAAGTAAGCATGGACAGTCTTAAAGCCATTTCAAGATTTGTGCGAGCTGAATTTTTCATGTTCGGAGCATAAAGGATAGGTGGATCTTTGAGCAAATATGAGCCAATGCCAAACAAGAAAGGTACCCCAATAATATGCATATACCTCACAATTCAGGGGTGGTTCATACGGATCATCGATACCAGTAAAACCTACAAAAAGAATATGACATAAGCTGTTATTCAATATGAGCTTCTACCAATCTTCAGATACAAAAACCAATGGGGAGATGCACCTTTAATTTTTCCAGCTCTTGCAAGCTTGTATAGGCCTTTTGGGTCCCTTGCCTCGCATATTTGGAGTGACACATTCATGAACACCTGCATGAATCATTGCCGAGTATTTTCTTAGAGCAATGTAGAATAGAACCTTCTGATGCAAAGCCCTTTCTCATAAATAAGATCAAAGCTCTATATATTTCAGGTTTCTTAAAAGCAGCATGTACCTCAATGAAAGCTCCTTCCGGCAACAGTTCACGAGATGCATCCCTGTCTTTTCTGTAGGGAGATATTACACTGGCAATGCAGATGATGCCTGCATCAGCAAAGAGTTTCGCTACCTCTCCTGTAGGTAAACCACAAAAACAAGCTGTAACTTGTAACCATCAGAATAAGAGAGCAAAAGTGTCGTAACCGGTTTTCGCCCGGGCACGAATTTTTTTTTACTCGGCGGGAAAAGTGATGTGAATAAATGGTTTAAAATAATTTGGGAGTCGTCATCGGCCTTTCGGGTCAGGTAGGTCGAATACCTAAAAATCATCCTTTAAAAGAGTTTTTAAGAAAACATCGATTAAAAGATAAACTGATCTGCGTTTTAACCAAAAATTCGTTCTTTTTAATAATAAAAAGGGATTCGTGGTCGGTTACGTTTAGGGAATGATTAGCACCCCGACAACGCCCAAAATTGATACTTTTTAATTATAAATTGTCTCTATTATTGGAAATTTAAAAAATTCAAAATATATTTAATTTATAATCCTATTATTTTAAGATTATAACTATGAAAAATATACATTAATTTATATATATATTTATAAATAAAATATTTATTTATTTAGAAATATCAGAAAATGACTTCTAGGTGCCTTAAGACAGCTCTTTTCTTTGATATTAATAAATATTATAATAATTAAAAAATTTTATAATATTTAATTTTAAAATACCAGAATAGAACATCCAGTTGTATTAAGACTGTCCTTTTCTTTGATATTGAAAAATAAATAAATATTAAAATAAAAATAATTTATGACTATATAATAATAATAAAAATAATATTTAAATATATAAATAAAATTAAAACATAAATAAACAATAATAAAAATACGATTAGAACTATATATTTAAAAGAAATGAAAATATTTAAAATTAATTACTAAATTATAATCTAATAAAATTAAATACTTAATTTAATTAATTATTTAAAATTATAGGGATTAAACATGCTATTTTTTCTTATTTATTAATTTAGTGACTAAACTAAAATTATATAAAATTCGAAAATCAGATTAAAATAAATTAAAACATATGATTTGGGGTTAAAATAATAGTTAATAAAATTAGGGGACTAAATATGTTATCCTAAATATTTAAATACGGTTAAGGGCTAAAATAAATAAATAAATTTAGAGACCAAATTAAAAGGATTATAAATTCGATTTAGTGACTAAAATGTAAGGATTACAAGTTTAAGGGATTGCGGATGGGATTTAACCTTTAGTTAATTACACAAATAGCCCTCCTAAAACGACGTCGTTCGGGAAGGGCTATTTAAAGCCCGAAACGGCTGGCCCTTCGGGCCAGCTCTCTCATTTCAATTTATCATTCTCTCTCTAGCTGAGAGAGAATGATAATGCTCTCCCCTCTCTCTAGCTTCCCTCACCGGAGGGAAGCCGGCTATCGGACGACAGTCGTCTGCCGCCGTAATTCCCACCGCCGGCCATCGCATCCGGTGGCCGGAAAAATTTATTTTTACACTAGAATGTAGATCGGACCGTCTTAATGACGGTTCCGGTGTTCCTTTCTTTTAAATAGCTCCCGATCGGAGCAAATCTAAGAAAATACCTTCGGTATTTTTGGTTTTCCAGCGCCGTTTGGGGTTCTCCGGTAAGGTAAACTCCTCATTCTCTCTTCTCGGTTTGATTGCTAGTTGTTGTGAGTTGGTCTCTTTTTTTCCTTTTTGTATCTTTGCTCTCGGTTTTTTGGTTGCTCTTTCTATGGGGTTTTTTTTCTGTTCTCCGTTCTTCCTCTCTCCTTTTTTGTTGGCAGGGGACTCGGTGGCTTTTATAGCCACCACCGGTGATGGCTTCGGACCGGTCCAAAAGGGGTTCTTCGGTGAGTCACCGGACTTCCATTGGTGACTCACCGTTTGGGGGAGACGTGTGCGGCTGGAGTGGCTCTTTTGGAAGCCTTCGACGAGACGTGGCAACGGTGGAGATGGTGGGAGCAGCTGCGGCGGCCGCGTGGCCCTAGGGTATCATACCCTAGGGTTTGTATTTGGAGGAGTATGGGCCGTTGGATCTCTCAGATCCAACGGCTGAGATTGAGGCGGCGGCTAGAGCTAGGGTTTAAAAACCCTAGCTGAAACCACAAATGTTTAGGGTTTCCTTTTGGGTTTGGGCCGGTTATGGTTGGGCCTGGGATTTGGGCTTGTAACTATTATTTTTAATAATAATAATAATAATCTATATTATAATAATAATTATTATAATAATAATAATTATAATAATAATAATAAATAAAAATTGGTAAAAAAGTTAGTATCTTCAGCTGCCCCTATTTGCTTATTCTTGTGTTAACAAGAATAGGGCAAAGACGAAAAGATAATAATTTTTTTTATCCATTTGGCTTCACTTGATTATGATGGAGATGTTTGAATAAATTCTTCTCTTTCTTCAGATGAGTTCTTCTCATTATGAACTTTCCGCTGGGGATGATGTTGACCTATTTCCTTCTGTGATAGAGTCATTCAAAAGGTTGAATAAGCTCTTCTCATTATGAACTTTTTCTTTCTTTTTCATATGAGTTCTTCTCATTATGAACTTTCTCTGGAAAGGTTGATGCTAATATATCTTCTTCTGTGATAAAATTATGTAAAAGGTTGAACAAGCTCTTCTCATTGTGAACTTCTTCTTCTTCAAATGAGTTCTTCTCATTATGAACTTTCTCTGGAAAAGCTGATCCATCAAGTGATGGATTTGAGCAAAAGGTTGAACAAATTCTTCTCATTATGAATTTCTTCTTCTTCAGATGACGAGTTCTTCTCATTATGAACTCTACCTGGCAATGTTAATCCATCAAATGATGAATTTAAACAAAAGGTTGAACAAATTCTTCTCATTATGAACTTCTTCTTCCTTCTTCAGATGAGTTCTTCTTATTATGAACTCGAACTGGTAATGATGATCCATTGAATGATGAATTCAAGCAAAAAGTTGAACAAGTTCTTCTCATTATGAACTTCTTCTTCCTTCTTTAGATGAGTTCTTCTCATTATGAACTCTAACTGGTACTGCTGTTCCACTGAGTGATGAATTTAAGCAAAAAGTTGAACAAGTTCTTCTTATTATGAACTTTTTCTGGAAAAGCTGATCCATCAAATGATGGATTTGAGCAAAAGGTTGAACAAATTCTTCTCATTATGAATTTCTTCTTCCTTCTTCAGATGAGTTCTTCTCATTATGAACTTTCTCTGGAAAAGCTGATCCATCAAATGATGGATTTGAGCAAAAGGTTGAACAAATTCTTCTCATTATGAATTTCTTCTTCCTTCTTCAGATGAGTTCTTCTCATTATGAACTTTTTTCTGGAAAAGCTGATCCATCAAATGATGGATTTGAATCTTTGCTAAAATCTTTGAAATTCCTGTCGAAATTCAACATGGATGAGAATGAATGAAAATGCACCTATTTTTGCAAATGCCTAAATATGATGCATGAATGTTAAGTTATTTGATTTCAGATTGGTGAACTGAGTATTTCTTCAGTTGTAGAAACCCAATAAATCTTTCTTCTTCAAATCAGAGAATCTATCATCTTTGACAAATGTAGATGTAGATATAATGTCACAAAATCTCTTGAGAATAAAACTCAATAGTATAGGCTCTTGAAAAGCTTGCATTCCAACATGTTGATTCTGATAACAACTCATCTGATTATGAAGTGATCTTTCAAGATGATTTCGCAGATATCGATAGTTCTTTTAATACCGAGAAAATCTTGAATTCTGATTCTGATGAGGAGAGTAAACTGTTATACTTGAAAAGAAATGGGATTCTCAGAGGCTGAGGCTTCAATAGCCATGAAGAGATGTGGTTCAGATTCATCAATTATTTATATGTGATGCTCAAATGGCTAAGGCTGCTGACACACTTCTTCCGGTAAAAGATAGGAAGCCATTATGCATTGATCCCAATTACAAGAAAAGGTGAAACTTGGGCTATGATTTTGGGAAGGAATAAGCAGAAGAAACTTGAAAAGAAGCTTTAATGAAGACGATCATGCAGTTCATCTTTTAATTCCAATGATTGGTTCTGTGGTTCCTACCGAACCAGATCAGATAACTCAAAGAACACTTCCAGAAGATGCTATTGGGTCTCTTTATTTGTACTATGAGCAAATTCATCTTTCAAATCTAATGATTGGTTTTTAGGGTTCATACCAAACTAGATCAGATAACTCAAAGAACACTTCCAGAAGATGCTATTGGGTCTTCTTATTTCTACTATGAGCACATTCATCTTTCAAATCCAATGATTGGTTTTTGGGGTTCATACCAAACCAGATCAGATAACTCAAAGAACACTTCCAGAAGATGCTATTGGGTCTTCTTATTTCTACTATGAGCACATGGCACTTGCTCCAATTAATGTTGGACTGGAATATATAGTACTTATTCGATGTAGCAAAAGTATGTTCTTGATGAGTGCTGAAAATGGAATCTGGTATGGGTTGAAAAGAATAAAATGTTCCACTTGAATCTGATGAGGTGGAAATGCTTCTAGGTTTCCCTAAAAAAACATACACAAGGATCTGTATAGAGACATGTTCCATGGTGGTATCAAGTCCTGTCTCTTTTCTCTGGGATCAATGATGCAGAGGTTGCCTTTTACTGTCTTGGCATACTTTTGAAAACAGATGTGCAAGAACTGAATGATGATCGGTTGGAGTAATTGATGAGTAGTTTTAACGGACTCGACCTTTTTGTCGGTGGCATCCAGCGTAACAACCTTACTGGAAGAAATAAACATCATTGTGATGGGCTTGAAGATTTTTGTTGGTGCATTTACTTGCAATGATTGCTACAACAAACTGTCTCTTCTGCTGCTCCAATATATCCCATCTTTTCGAATCATGGAACGGTTTAGTTGACAAGAACTGAATGATGATCGGTTGGAGTAATTGATGAGTAGTTTTAACGGACTCGACCTTTTTGTCGGTGGCATCCAGCGTAACAACCTTACTGGAAGAAATAAACATCATTGTGATGGGCTTGAAGATTTTGTTGGTGCATTTACTTGCAATGATTGCTACAACAAACTGTCTCTTCTGCTGCTCCAATATATCCATC